AAAAAAAAAAAAAAAAAAAAAAAATCAGAGAACCTGCTTTCAAAGTGTGTGCAAAAGGATTATACTCTGGAAATGGTTTCGCACATTTCAATAAAGATGTATTGATAAAGTATATTGTCTTTTTCATGAACCTTTTTTCAGAATATGGGAGCCTCTGAAATGTAAGTCTTGTGTAGTAGCTTCATAAAAAATGAACTTTCATATTTGCATATTATTTAATAGGTAGAGTACTTGAATTATATATGCATTTTTCTACAAATTGCCTAACAGCCCTTTAAAAAGAATTAACAAAGAAAACGAAAAATATATTTGATTAAACACTCACTTATTAACTCCAAAAACATGTATTTTGAATTTTCATTACTTTAAATTTTGATGCTATCTTTTCATACAGAACTTTGGACCCAAACTATGTTTCAAAGTTACTAATAAGCGGAGCCCAGCTAGCTCGCTGGTGGAACAAAGAACTCCGATTTTGTGAATTTGACTCCCAAGTTGGGCGCATTGCTTACTTAAATATAGTAAAAAATAAATAAGTTACTAGTAAAAAGTTAAATAATATTGTATTCCTGTACTGTAATATGGAATCTGACATCCCACAGTTTCTCTGTGGGGACCTAAATGATACAGAAAATCTTTCAAACAGCAAACTATAAAAATTACAAAGCAAATACCATACTGTTGGAAATATCTTTAAATGTATAGGCTATATATACTACTTTTTTGTCACACATAGTGTCAAATTCCCCAAATGCCATTTGTCCTTCATATATCTTAAAACCACGAAATGCTTTAAAAACGGGAAAAACAATGGCACGGAAGAAATCTATTAGAAAGTTCTGGATAATAATTTTCCTTTCAAGGACCTTAACTCCCCCCCCCCCCAGCTTAATTTTTTTTTTTAAGATTTTATTTATTTATTTGACAGAGAGAAAGATCACAAGTAGGCGGGGCGGGGGGGAGGGTGGGGTCAGGCTCCCTGCTGAGCAGAGAAAGCGATTGGGGTGGGGGGGACATGATCCCAGGACCCTGGGAAGATGACCTGAGCCAAAGGCAAGCTTAACCCTCTGAGCCACTCAGGGAACCCTTAAATTTTCTTTTAAAAAATGTAAAAGATAACATGTTTTTATGTTTATATAAAATTACAACAAACTGGGGCACCTGGGTGGCTCAGTGGGTTAAGTGCCCGCCCTCAGTTTAGGTCTTGATCCGCCACTCCTGGTATTGAATGGGCGTGGTGCTTCCTACTCAGTGGAGAGTTTCTCTGCCTCTGCCCCTCCCCCTGCGTATGCTCTCTCTTTCTCTCTCAAATAAAATCTTTTAAAAATATATACATAGGGGCACCTAGGTGGTTCAGTGGGTTAAAGCCTCTGCCTTCGGCTCAGGTCATGATCCCAGGGTCCTGGGATGGAGCACCACATCAGGCTCTCTGCTCAGCAGGGAGCCTGCTTCCTCCACACTCTGACTGCCTCTCTGCCTACTTGTAATCTCTGTCAAATAAATAAATAAAATCTCTTAAAAAAATAAATAAATAAAAATATATACACATAATTAATGAAAGTAATTACAGTAAGAGTTCGAGTACACCTAAGATCACTGAAACCTCTGGGTCATTAGGTATCTTACACATTGCATTTAAAGGATCTGCCATACTTACCTTGTTTTAAAATTGATTATTGGGGACACCTGAGTAGCTCAGTAGGTTAAAACATCTGCCTTCCGGCTCAGGTCATGATCTCAGGGGCGTGGGATCAAGTCCCACATGGGTCTTCTTGCTCAGCCAGGAGCCTGCTTCTCCCTCTTTCTCTGTTCTTCTCAGTGGAAAAACCATGTTAATAAAAATGAGATTCTTGGGCCCAACTCCTAGGGCCAATAATCAAAACTAACAAGCCCAGGTGATACAAGAAAATATTTTCACCCCCAAAAATATTAGCACATATTTGCAAATGCATCTTTGTCCACATTTACAAGACTTTGACTTAGAGCACAAAGAGGTGAAATTGCTGGATTTGGTACAGGGTGATTTTCTGACCATATTCATGCTCATTCACTCCTCTAGTCAAATAAGAC